GGGCCCAGGGGGTCCCCAGGAGCTGATGACCAGGACAAGGGTGTTCCCACTGTCCCCTGATGTTCCCGTGTCCTACATGTCAGGACTCAGGGGGCCCCTGCAGGTGATGACCAGGGTGAGGGTGTCTTCCTGTCCCTATGCGGACTTGACTCAGGGCCTCCTTGTGATCCCAACAGCCAGGCCAAGGGTGTCCGCATCCCCCTGTGCTATGTGTCCCCTATGTCCCGCTGTCCCATGTGTCCAGGCTTGGGAGTGGCAGCCAGGACAATTGTGTTGCCCATGTGCCCATGCTGATGGGTCCTGGGACCTCCCTACACTTGAAGAATCCAGGCCAAAGGAGCCCCCGTTCTCCCGTGCCATATGTCCCCAGTGTCCCCACATCCCATGTGTCAGGACTCGGGGGATCCCTGGGGATTGGTGACCAGGATAAGAGTATCCTAGGAGCGGATGGCCTGGAGAGGGGTGTCCCCAATGTTCCCACATCCGCGTGCAGATATGACTCAGGGCCTTCCTGCCCTGGGGGCATCCCTGTCCCCCTGTGCCACATGTCCCTGCTGTCCCCATGTCCCAGGTGTCGGTGCTGACTGGGATCATCAAGATCAGCCTAAAGACGCTGCTGGAGTGCGTGCGGCTGCGGACATTGGGGCGCTTCGGGCTGCAGCAGGTGCAGGTGGACGGTCATTACCTGCAGCTCTACCTCTGGCGCTGCAGGTAAAAAAAAACGCGCCGGGCTGAGTTGCCCCCCTGCTCCGCCCACCGCTGCCTCGACCCTGTCCCCATGGAGCACAGCGTCGTCGAGCTCATCTGCGAGCGCGGGTAGGACGTGGGGACATGCAGGGGCGTGGGTTGATGTACAGGACATGGCATCACATAGCGGGGGGACACAAAAAAATTGGACATCTGTGTCACCATGGGGCACAACTGAGTGGGGACACCTCTGGGAGGTGGACATGTCTTAGGTCCTGTTATATATCTGGGGACAGACTAGTTCCCGTGAGTCCCCACACGTACATACTCCACTTGTCCCCCATACGGCAACACACAAGGACGTCCCATGTCCCCACACATGGCAACATGCAGGGACACCCCCTGTCCCCACACCCACATATGGTCACCCCATGTCATCAACCCCCCCACCCCCAGCCCTGCTAACACCCCACATTGTCCCCCCACCCTAGTGACGCCCTGAACGTGTGCTGACACCCCATGTTGTCCCTGCGGCCCCAGTGCCCCACCGTGTCATCCCCCCACCTCGG